CCCACTGATCGCAAACAGGAGTGGGTGCATGAAGCAATCTGGACCGGATTGTCATACTATGGGGAAGTATGAGAATTCCAGCAAGCCAGTGGAGATTACATTGCAAAGTGCCTTTGCCCTTGGACAGTGGAAGCGCTGTATGAACTGGCACCCTGGATGAAACTGAATAAAATTGCTCTACCCAGATTCATCCACCTGCCCAGCCTCAATAGGGTAGTATATGTCAAACAGGAGGATGCCAAACAAGTGTGCCAGTTCTGCTACCAGACCGGCCACACAATGGTTCAATGTCACCATTGTAAAGGTAAAACTACTTGGGAGTATGAATATGACCCCATCAGGGGAATTACCAAGGTGGGCACCAAGACCTTCCTCCTCTTGAAAGCTAGAGAATGGATCCCACAAAACTTAATGGAGATAGCGGATATGAAATGCCAACGACAAGAATTAGACCTGGCACACAGAGAGGCGTGGGAATGGGAAATGGCAAAATGACCTGAAACAGATGACAAACTGTTTATAAATCTGAACCCTGAGTCTTATGCAATGGATGAGGGAACCGTCCCAGGACCAACAGAGAAACATCCAACCCAAGCAGAATGGATGGTTCATGAGGAGGAAAGATGGCAGAAGGCAAACCTGAAGAAGTCTCCCAAGTAAGGGCAGACACAGGATACCAGCAAGTCAAAATTGAAGCCTGACAAGATGAAAGGGAATACAAAAATGAATCAGAAGTCATCAGAAAATAAGCCTGAGGTGACCGGTGAAGAATTAGTGGGAGCAACAAAATTGACAAAATCAGCTGGGCAATCACCAACTAAAAAATTGAGTTCTGCTGATAAATTGAACAAAGCGGTGCAAATCTAGCCAATGGATGAGGGAGAATCCACTGGTCCACTTGCAGGGAACAAGAGGCACCCAGACCCAAACATAAAACCATCCCCATTAACCATCGACAGGGAGATGGGGATGGCAAACAAATTCCTGGTGCACAAGATGCCCAGGAATATAATTCCAGTCTTAATTACCCAACCCCAAAAACCAAATATCTCACCCCACCAACCATTGACACCACCACCATTGACCAGCCAGACCTCAGTATGGGACTCGATCCACAACCCAGACAACACATAACCTCATACCCATGGGTCAGGCAGCCAGAAATGAGGATAGCGACTACAAATGCTCAGGGGATGGTGAGCATACAAATGAGGAGGAGGAAAATGCACCACTTAAAAACTAATAATAATATTGACCTAATTTTTATCATAGAAACACAAGCTGGTAACCAAAAAGAAATGGTGCTGAGCTCGAACTGTGACATGAAAAACCATCTGTGGTCCCACCAGATAGGCTACCAAGCCCTATGGATGGACCACGTGGCAATAGTTGCAATGGACAAGAAAATAGACCTGGAAATTACAGAAGAAACTCATGCCAGTAGGATCCTGATAGTGATGGCTACAAACAGAGAGACTGGTAGGAGCATACAAGTGGTAGCAGTCTACGCCCTGCTGAAGCTCCACAAAAACTGTATTTTTTGGGAATTCTTAGTGGAAGTACCATCTGAAGCGATGACTGTAATAGCAGGTGACCTGAACTGTTGGATGAATGCGAGCTGGGATACATACCCAATGAGAGAACGTCCCAACAGTAAAGCTGACGAGATGCTCAATTACCTAGTCAAATTGGGGGATGTGCCTAACAATTGACAAAGAGGACAATGACCCAGCCAATCAACGCGGTGGTTATATGACGCCGCCTGATTCCCACTGTCAGGAGCACATTTAGACTACATCCTCATGTCATCGGACCTCAGGATGATGATGTCCAACAGCAAGGTCAGCATAAATACTGAAAGTGACCACATGTTTGTCCAGGTGTAGATTGGCCTTGATGAACCTCCGAGGAACCACAAGTGGCAACTGGCACTAGCCATGCTGAGGAATGGGGATTGGCGCCAAATGGTTGACGCGGGACTGGATCAACTGGTAGCGCATCTGGACAACTGCCCAGAGTTGGACCCACTATAATGATGGACCCAGATCAAAGCAAAGATGAAACATGATAGTATGAAGTTTAATAACCACCTCCTACAAGAGAACAGCCACCATAAAGCAACTGAAGTCTAAATTAGAAAGGCTGAGGCTCACCCGCTGGGACAGTGAGGACTGGTGGAGCGAGTACTAAACAACACACAAAAAGTATTGGGCCATAATGATGAAGCAAGACTTAGAGAGACGGACTAATGCAACTTACCAATATCAGAGCCTAGCAGGGACAATGACCAAAGAGGGCCTGAAACACCTCAAGGAAATCCAAACTAAGGCTAGGGTATGGGAAGTGGAGACAGCGGATGGGTAAGTATCATCAGACCCCAAACAATTAAGCGTGAGGTTGAGCTTTTTTATGGCAATCTTTAGACAAAGAGAAATAGGCAAAATGGTGACAAAACCCTTATTGGCCTGGCCAAGCTGGCACTGGGTGGCTGTACACTGGAAGACGTTGCCAAGCTATCTGCCAAACTCTCTATCAACAAAGTTAAGAGGGTGCTAAAGGAGTCACCAAGAATGAAAGTGCCAGGCCCCAACAATATGTGTGCAGAAATACAGCATATTCCAAGACCGCATAGCGCCAGAGCTCAAAGCCCTCTTTAACCACTGCTTGAACAATAGCAAGAAAATTCCGGGAGGCCATGAGACCCAAATTGTACTTCTGTACAAAAAAGGCCTCAAATGCCAACTTCAGAACTGGCGCCCAATTACACTATTGAATGCCAATTATAAACTGCTCACGCACATAATATCTAATTGGCTAATGGCAACAGCACCGCGCATGCTCCATAGTGCCCAGCACAGCTTCATCAAAGGCCATAGTATATGGGACAGCATTGGTTCAGTCCAGAGCATACTCCAGGATATGAGGGGCATTGAACAAGGATACCTTATGTCTCTCACCATGAAAAAACATATGACCGAGTAGTGTGGTCATTCCTAAATGAGGCACTAAAGGTGGTCAGTATCCCTGACACATTTTGAGCATGGATAACGATGCTGTGCTCAGGCCTGGTAACAAAGGTTATGATTGCAGATGGTGCAACCAATAAAATCCCTGTCAGGCAAGGTCTCTGCCAAGGAGACCCTATGTTACTGATACTCTTCAACTTTGCAGCTAACATTCTACTGGCAGCAGTGGACATGTAGCTTCAGGGTTTAGTCCACCCTAATCAAATGCCACTGAAGATGCTAGCATTCGCTGACAATGCAGTAGTTGGAATAAGCTCCTCAACTGACCTCCAGGGCGCCAAGGAACTATTAAACCTCTATCAGCTCGCATCAAATGCAAAAATCAATTTGGCAAAAACCCCAGTGATGAAGGTCGGCAACCTGAGCTTTAGCCCGCCAACTGACACAATGTCGATTACAAGCTCCCAGACAGTCCAATACCTCGAGATACTCTTCAATGACAAGGGACCAGCGGTACTGTAGATTAGACAAGAAGTATTGTCAAGCTTATCAATCCAAATGGCATGCTGAAAAAGTGCCAGACTATGCCTCAAGGAGAAAATGCAGGCAATAAACATCTTCATCTTCTTGAAGCTGTGGTATGTTGCTCACGTGCTGCCAATGAGCCTGAACTTAGATAAGAAAATCAGGTCAACGCTCCAAACTTTCATGTGGCTTAAGGCGAAGGTGGCACCAATTCCTTTGGAAGCCCTGTTGAAACCAAAGAACAAAGGAGGCATGAGCCTACTGGACTTTAAATCTCATGCCCGGTGCATATGGGGGAAGTCATTTCTGAAGCTAACACAGATGCACATGCACTGCCCAACCCTAGCATGGGGCGTGAACTGGGCAAGAGCCCAAGGCCTCCAAGAGCGGTCTCCCCTGATTGATACACGAATGGATGGTGAGCCACCCGCGGATAACTTCCCAAAAAGGTGCCCCACACTACTGGTGACTATGCAATTGGGCCATGCGCCAGGGTGGGTGGTCATTTGAGTGATTGGACTGAGAGGCTGACCAAATTCAGAGTGACGTTGAAGCACATAATTCTGCAATGATTTCTGCAATGAGCTGGGAGGAGCATAACCAATTTGCCAACAAATATGCAGCCAAGTCAATCAGAATAAGGTACAAATTGATGCTGATAGAATATGGGGATCCACTCCCAAAACTGGGGTGTAAACCGCCCACCCATCCACGAATCCTAAATGACTGGACTACCAAAGGCCATGACACCAAATACTTGACAAAGGAGTTGATTTCAGGCCTGAACTCCCACTTGGTTATGGCCAAACAGCGTTCAGTAACCTGGCAGATCCTAAATTGGGCATTCAAATTGGGCAAATACAGCAGGCCAGACTACCAGCACAAAGAATGCCCCATATGCGAAGAACTGGAAGCGGACATAGCACACCATTGTTTATGAATGCGCCATGATTAAAAAATACTGGTTTACGATGCATTACATCTTATCAGGTGAACATTTGCCACAGGGTATAAATCCATCACAGGACCTTTTCTTTACAAAAACCCTAAAAACAGCTCTGATCCAACTACAAACCTTCATTTACCATTATTTTGTATGGGTAATTCACTGTGCGCTTGTCACCAAGGTCTTGAGCAACAAACGCCCCCATCACAGAGGTTTGGTATTGAAGACCATTCAGATTGTTACCGATCAGCTCTGCCAGATATCAAAATTCTCGCGCATAATCCCCAGGTGTTATAAAGCCACACATTTGGCTTTTCCTGCCAGATCGCTCATCACATGCAATGAAACCACTAATTGACTGAGAATTGAATGACCTGTAAGCCCGCTGATGCTAGAACCATGGCTAGCAATGGCAATCGCTGATCAGCAATGGTCAGAGGTGCTAGAACTCTAGCGGCCTGAAACCCTGGTCCTTTTACCCTTGGCCAAATTGCCTGTATTCCGCCCTCCCCTCTTACTTTCCCTTAAATTCTATTTTAATAAAGTATGGAGTTTTTTTAAAAAAATAGCTCAATTGGGAGAGCGTCAGATTGAAGATCTGAAGATCCCGTGTTCAATCCATGGTGGCTGCATTAATTTCAAGCAAAGTTAATATCAACTAAATAAATATTTTTTAATTTATAAACAAAAAAGTATGCTTGCACTAATCAACTTTGATGTGTTATATCATCTATAAAAGGCTAGCTGCAAATCTGTACAATTATGGAGTATAAGCATTTTTATTTTATAGTAGCTGTATTATTCAGCCCTGCTAAATTGGCATCAAACCAATTCTACACTTGATTGGTGAGAATTTTTATTTGATATTTTTAGATACCATATATATATTTACTTACTATTGTGTGTAAACAATTCTGTTTTATAGTTTAGGTTTGGGGAGCAACCCCTGTGGTTTAATTAAAAATTTTTCCATTTCAGATTAAAAAGGGAGGAAGCCAATGGACAACCCTATTATCACCAAGGGCAACTTAGCCCATGTGGTAGATGAGAGGTGAGTGACAGCATATCTTTTGAAAATTGTATCATCCCCCATACCAACTACATATAAGTTGACCAGAAAATATGAGGTGTGCGCTGTGAAGTGGCAGAAGCCAGAGGCTATCACCAGCAGTTGGTCAGCAGCAATTCTCTTCCACAAAAGGTAGCTCTACCAGTTCAAGTTCTGCCAAGAAAATTAAATAAATATCCAGTAAAACTAGATTAATTAAGTCAGAATCAAGCATATAAATTACCCAACTTTTATTCTCCTTTGTTGCTGGTAGTCACAAGCCCATCCCTGATAGATACAGGTGCAATAAACCCTTCCCTGCTCAATGGACCAGCCATATGTGGCCTGGCCATGTGCACACCCACTTGCCTGCCAGACAAAGAAATTATGATCTATCAAGTGAAATTATACCAGAAGGGAAAATTTGGTGGCAAAATTTAAGCCTAAGTTTTCTGGATAGGCTGAGATTAATCTAGCATTGTAAAGTTTTTAAAATGCAATTAACCATGGTTAAATTGTTTTTTAACTCTAATGACAAATAATAATTTTTTTTCCTATTTTTTGATGAGCTTATAAGGCAGCATACCTCAACATGTTCCTTTGTCGCTCTAATTTTTCCTTTTCTGATAATATAGTTGAAAAAACCCTAAAATCCAATATCTTATTTGCAAGTTTAATAAGTTCACTAAACATCTGGTAGATATGATTTTAACTTTGGTAATCCTTGGATGGTGTTTGCAGGTGCTCTAATTTCTTTGCACTCTACAGTATGAATGGCTGTACCAGAGATATTCTGGTTGGTTCTTTAAGTGTTCACTCACCTTGAGTTCCAAGACAGTCTTATTATTAGCATCACGCTCAATGACATATATACTGATAAATGATATATCAATCACATTGTATTTTGGTGAAGAAATACAAATTGACAGATAATGAATATATATACCATTTCAGCTACTAGTTGTGGTGTCCAATTGATTTAATAGTTTAATAGTTTATCAAGTTGCTGATAGTTATTTGGTTGATACCATATTACATTATATGATATCTATGATTTATTTAATAGCCATTGAAAAGTCTTAAAAAGGTAGTAAATGGCAAAACAAATAAAATTTTATTGACTATACCTATGACTGACATATGCCTAGTGCACGCTATATTATATATATATATATACTAACTTCCAGATTCATATGCTTTGCCATGGTGTTTATTATTAATCAGATGACTTGAATTGGTCAAATTTATAAAAAAGATAACCATTAACTACTAAGCTAAAATTATTAAACCTATAAAATAACCAAAATAACCCATAAGCACTTAAAACCCATTTAAAAGGAATTATTTAGTGGTAGTAGGAGCTACCATGATAGGCAATCACATTATCCTCCTTTAATTTAATATCCATATATTTATTCACCTTTATAAAATAAGATAATAAGTGGGGCTAGGAGGAAACAATGTCCCATCCTAGACAGTATGGGTTTTAAACCTGTTAAAATCAAAGCCACATCAGAGGGGTAACAGGTTTCACCCTGCTAGGCAACCAACCCATTTTAATTTTTTTATATCCATATTTTTACTCAAGTTTTTTGATATAAAATAATAAAGGGAATAGGAAAAAATAATTTTTGTCTTAGCCAGTATAGGCTTCAAACTTTTACAAACCAAAACTTGCACCAGAGTAATAGCAGGTTCACCCTTTAGGCAACCATCCTTTTTTTATCATCATATCTTTATTTAATATTTTAAAATATTATAACTTATAAAATAAGTGGAAAGTAAATGATACTTTGTCCTAGCCAGTATAGGTTTTGAACCTGTTCTGAAACAAACCTGCAGCAGATTGATAGCAGGATGTACCCTGTTTAGCTAAGCACCCTTACATAGCAAACCTATTTAACCTATTAAAGCAATCAAAAAGCACTAAAATTCTAGCTAAAACATTATCGATAAAAAGGCTCCCTACCTTAATATAGAATAGATTCTTCATCTAATTTACAATATGCTCTTCAGTAAGTGCCTATAAACTAATAACTGTTTTACTAAATCTTGAGTTCTGGCTCATGTGATTTATGTATATGAAAAAATTAGCCTTTATTACATAGGTATTTTTTTGTTTATCTTTGGTTAGGAATTAATATTTTAAAAGACCCTACATAATTTAGAATCTAACACTTAAGGGGCATATACACAATAAATCTATGTAGTAAGTTTTTAGTTTGGGAGAATTTATATC